GACAATGGTACTTGCTTACCATGCTGCGAATGGATCTGGCCCTTCCTACATCCAGGACATGGTTAAACCGTACACCCCAGCACGTGCACTCCGCTCTGCATCAACAAAACGGCTCGCTGCACCCTCGCTGCGAAGGGGACCCAAGTTCCGATCAGCAAAAACACGTGGGTTTGCTATCCTGGCTCCAAAATGGTGGAATGAGCTCCCCATTGACATCAGGACAGCAGAAAGCTTACACACCTTCCGGCGCAGACTGAAAACTCATCTCTTTCGACTCCACTTCGAGCGATAGAACTATTAACAAAGCACTTATATACTAATAAAGGACTGGCTTATCTAAAGCCAGTTGAGTAGCACTTGAAATGTTTTTGCTCTATGAAGCCTGATGTACTTATATGATTCTGTTTTCTTCAAGTTTTTATTTTGTTGGTCGAACGCACTTATTGTAAGTCGCTTTGGATAAAAGTGTCAGCTAAATGTAATGTAATATAATGTAATGTTATCCTCAGATGTACTTACACCCTTTATCCTCTGGGGTCAATTTGACCCCTGAGGATAAAGCTCAAGACAATGATCATATTCCAGATGTTAACCAACATGTATGTCTCTGACATCAGACGATCATAAACAGTGGCACCATCGTGAAACAAATACTTACTGAACTAAGGAGAAGAAAAACCCTGGACAAATCCCAGACTCAGCCATGGCAACACACTCTCACTCCATAATCGTCCAGGAGCGACGTTTGGTCAGTGTCCGTGGCGTGCAGTTGTGACGCTCCTAGGCTCCTTCAGCTTCATAAAGGAACGCAAATAGCTTCCAACTGATTGCAATGTATTCCCATCTGCGGCGGGATTTGACGCTCATGGAAGCACGGCATTCGTTTGTGTCGGCTGCCCTTAAAGGGAATGTGAGCGTCCATTCTCATTGGATAACGGAGAATTGTACACCCGGAAGTAAGTATTCCCCTTACTGTCGATTGATTTCACAGTGATATCTGCACTACTCATCGACTAAAAAACACCAGATTATCCTTGTTAATTACACAACATTGATTGTTTAAATTGTGTGCAATGCTTTTGTATTTTTCCCCTTCGATTCGGAGAAACAAATATTTTTTCGGAGTAAAGGATGGCAGAAGACTCCCCAGCTATCATTTAGGAATACACCATGTGCTCTGTTTGACAAACCCCGTTTTTTTTCACCGTTCATTCCAATGGCTGGCGTCTATGTCACGTGATCTTCACATTTCTCCCTGCAAAAAAAAAAACAACATGGACGAACTTCGTTTCATTCTCGGTGGAAAATGCCTATTTTAAAGTTAGTTTGGCCATTAAAATGCATTTTGATGTCATTTGATGCGAGAAATATGAGTTGTTAATTCAGATGATGTGTGCAGTGGATGCACATGATCTTTAGTTTGCTAGTTATTACGAAGATTACTTCAGGAAATTGCGTCCATAGAACGTTTTCATTGTTACCAAGGTGGTTGCTAGGGACGCTGCTATCGATATTATTTCTGTTATGTTGTGTAACTGTTTAATGGTGCCTTTAGCTGAGACGTGACATATGGGAGCAGGTACTGTAGGTCAGTAACATCTGAGAGAGTCTTCTTTCTGTCCGAGGTAGAAGTGGGGAGTCTGGCACCCTCCTGGACCCGCACAATCTTTTGGTTTTCAATTATGATTGCAGTGGTGGCATTCAAACTCCCACCCTCCAGTGTCTTCTTCTTCCAGTCCAGATTGTCCATGTCTAACACATGGGGGATCTCGCTGTTTTTCACCATGGTCTCTGGGATGTAAACACCATCAGTTTCAACCTGCTGCATGAACCGTACACCCCAGCGCGTGCACTCCACTCTGCATCAGCCAAACGACTCGCTGCACCCTCGCTGCGAGGGGGACCCAAGTTCCCATCAGCAAAAACACGTGGGTTTGCTATCCTAGCTCCTAAATGGTGGAATGAGTTCCCCATTGAAATCAGGACAGCAGAAAGCTTACACACCTTCCGGCGCAGACTGAAAACTCATCTCTTTCGACTCCACTTCGAGCGATATAATTACTAACAAATAACTGCTAACAGAGCACTTATATACTAATAAAGGACTGGCTTATCTATAGCCAGTTGAGTAGCACTTGAAATGTTTGGCTCTATGAAACCTGATGTACTTATGATTCTGTTTTCTTCAAGGTTGTGTCTTCCTGGTCGAATGTACTTATTGTAAGTCGCTTTGGATAAAAGCGTCAGCTAAATGTAATGTAATGTAATAATGTAATAACCTTCTAACTTTGTGCTGTTAGCTGACGCTGCATACGTTCATAACTGATCCCAAGCCCCAATCTGTTGTTCATCATAATGAGTGATTTACTACGTGTCTGGTTGAATAAGTGGTAGGTAGTGGCTATGCCCATAGGTGTTGATACACCAGATGCTAATGTAATGCTAATGTAGCGTTAGCATGTTTTTGTTAAGTGCTGATTTAGACGCTTGGTGTTGGAATTGTGTTCCGTTAGGTAAAATGGTTATTATCCTCTGTTAGCTGAGTTTCTTCCCGTTAAGTGGGTATGCCACATTAATAGGTTGTTAAATATGAACAAGTCCTGGGATGGTGTTTCTTACAAGATGCTGTGTCTGCCCCCGGTACCGGGGGCAATCAGGTTTTAAAGTGTGCAGGTGGCATGGTATTGATCCATACATCACTGCACAAACAAAAAGATTACAAACATGAAACACTTAATCAAATGATAATAAATATATATACATTGATTACATGAATAATACTTTACAACTGATTTACAAATTATTAAAGACTGTTTGCTTACAGTAACAGTGCTGGCTAGCTAGCTAGCTAGCTTAAAATCCTCTCACTTGCTGGAAAATCTGTAAACATTGAATCAATTCAACTTGGCATCGGCAGCAAACCTTGTGTATATTAATGTAAACCCTTCAATATGTTATATAGAAATATTATTTTAAGTATATTTACTAGGGCTGTCAGTCGATTAAAATAGTTAATCGCGATTAATCGCAAATTAATCGCACATTTTGTATCTGTTCTAAATGTACCTTAGAGGAATATTTGTCAAGTTTGTAATACTCTTATCAACATATGAGTGGACAAATATGCTTTATGCTAATGTTTATTATCATTTGAACAATGACAAATATTCTCATGAATATTAAACACAACAACCTGGAACCTCTCTCATTCAATAATACAATACTGTGTGTGTGTGTGTGTGTGTGTGTGTGTGTGTGTGTGTGTGTGTGTGTGTGTGTGTCACCTAGGTTGTGATCCTTGAAGGTCCTAGATATCATTTCTGGTGGACAACCTTTTACAACATTCCCTGTCTGTAAAATGACTTTGCCCCCTGGGTATTATGTGAAACAATATAACATTTGCAACTATTTAAACTTTTCACTAGTCAAACCGTCACAACAACAAATCGCCACTTGCATGATTACACGTGGTTAAACGTTGCTAGCTAACACATTCAAAGACAGATGGTAAATTAGTTTATCTTGACACGACACTAAATGGATAAACATTTAAACATAGTTTAAAACAAAAAAAAGCAACCATTTCAAATCCTTACCTTATTTAAAAGTGTTTTTGGGTCAGACACTTTCACAGACAGTGGGTAGCGGTGTAATGGCGGCTGCAACAAATCTTGAAGTCACCTTGCTTTGTACGTCACGTGGTCATGTGACATGCTTTGAAGTGAAAATAACGATTTAGGTTGAATATTGTTTTTAAGTTATTTCAGGGGGGGGTGTGTTTTGCTTCTGGGCAAACGGAACAAAATCATGTCAAAAACGGAAACCATGATTCTTAATTAGACCAATTTAAAAATGTACTTTGATTAAATGACACAGTCGTTGCACTTTTTTCAGTGTACTGAAAAACAGTGGGATAGAGATTTAAAGGGTGAGTTGGAGTTCAACCTTTCATTTGGTTGGTTTAAACTTATTAACTCAGATATTATTATTGTGAAGGTAATCGCACCAAGAACCATTCCTATAACAATCTGACAACAGAACATTTCATATCAACTTCCATTCCTGTAAAGCTATAAACGGTACTAAAATAATAAAAGGCCATAATATAGTTTGTTACTATGCCAATAAATAAAGTTCATAATATTGTGATTAAGGCAAAGTGACCAAACGGATCATTATGGATTACTTGACTGTATTTTGCTTTAGTTCAATAGTTCTACCACCAAGAGGTTTGATGCCTCAGTCACATAAGAAGGCAACTTTTAGAGTCAACAATGTCCATAAAGAATATATATATATGTATATTTTCAAATTCAAAGTAAACTTTAATGTCAATCCTACTCAGCTTGTGTTTACAGACAGAGAGATCAAAATGACGTTTCCAACAATCCCGAATACGAAAATAAAATTATACAATACAGATATGAATAAAATATGTATATCCTAAACACAATCAACCAGTGTTCGAATTACCCATTTGCTTTCGGGGAGCCCTGGGCTGAAGTCGAATAGTCCATTTAGCTTAGGAACCTTCCTAACCGAGTGAAATGACCCGGAAGTCCCTCAGTGGCAGCCATGATAAGTGCCGTTTGAATTCTCTACATCAGTGGTTCCCAACCTGGGGGGCGCCAAAGATCGCAGGGGGGGCGCCAAAGATCGCAGGGGGGTGCGCCAGGCCTCAGATGATTTGAGGCCAAATATCATATTTAGAGTGGCCTGTGTTCGTCGTCCATAACATACGCCTGCCCATACCATAACCCCACCACCACCATGGGCCACTCGATTCACAACATTACCCTAACCCTACCCCTAACCCTAATCCTACCCCTCACACCAGATACTGACTGGTTTTCGGACCCCCCCAATAAAGCAAAACTGCACGTTTCAGAGTGGCCTTTTATTGTGGCCAGCCTAAGGCACACCTGTGCAATAATCATGCTGTCTAATCAGCATCTTGATATGCCACACCTGTGAGGTGGGATGGATTATCTCGGCAAAGGAGAAGTGCTCACTATCACAGATTCTTTCAGATTTGTGAACAATATTTGAGAGAAATGGTTATTTTGTGTATATAGAAAATGTTTTAGATCTTGAGTTCATCTCATGAAAAATGGGAGCAAAAACAAAAGTGTTGTGTTTATATTTTTGTTCAGTGTATTTACCATTAATGTAATGAAGGTTGGAAAAAACACGTTTATATACAATATTTACATTCAGTTTTCATGTTATTATGAAAAGAAACAGCCATCTTAAAGCAATGCAACCAAATACTGTAGCTTTGCAATGAACCAAACCTTCATTAAGGTTATACACTGTTTTGTGTTGGTTGTACTTTGGTAGAGGGGTGAAGCACGGGCGTGGAAGAAACGACAACATTTTGAACTATTGATTATTTGACCTTTCCTAACAATGGCCTTGGCGACAGGATTAACATTTAAGTATTTTTTCCTGCAATGATTCCAAGCAAATGTCTCGATTGTCAATATGTGCTGCTTTTCTTTGTCTTATGTGGTAGTAAATATACGTTTTAGACAGAACACGTGAAATAAAACATCGTCTTGGATTTCAGAGGGCGAATGACTCATAATACCAATCTGATCACTACAGGAGCAGCGATGTTAATCTATCATCACGTCTATGTCAACAGGCATCAGTTCTCGGACAAACACAATGTCATCGTCATTGTTTAGGTCTACTTTGATGAATTCGTCTTTGGGCTCTTCTTTGCAGACGGACTGCGAAGATTCTGTGATCTCAACAGGCAACTCGATCACTTTGTTCAGATAGTCTCCCTTTCGGCCGTGTTTAGCCGCTATTGCGATGACCTGAGAGGCAATGGACCAGGCGACCTCTACTTTCCGATGGTTCTGCGAGCTCAGGTCGAAGTTGTACTCCAGAATCTCGTACAGAGCAGGAATGTACCGGTTTGCAGTTTTGTCTCACATACTGGTGCATCTCAAAGAGGACTCCTCTCGTCAGCAAATGCAAGTCGAGTTTTGTTTTGGGTCCTTGTTGCGATCGGATGTTTAGGTCTAAACCTATTTCTTCACAGATGTGATAGCTGAGGACCTTTTTCTCAAAACCTCCAATTAAAGCCTCCCTTTTTGGCTTCACATCTTCTGAATCCAGACCCTCCTGGTGGTTGGATATTGGTGGTTCTGACTCTGACTCTGGTTCTGGCTCTGCGTGGCCACTCAATGGGACGAGGTCATTCTTCCAGGTAACTAAACCCTTTGACTTTATGCTCATTCTTTTCTGTGTGGCGTACCATCTCTGGATCACCTGCATGGTTTCTCTGCTTTGCAGATCAAGATCAAAGTTGTGCTCCAGAATGTCGTAGACTATCCTGTGGGGCGAGCTACACAACTCTCTGACAAACATGAATATTTCAATCACGGCTCCGTTGGTTAGGGCCGCCAAATCCATCTTCTGGCCTGCCGGGCGTGCGTCTGTGGACCAAAGGTTGAGGCCTAACTGTTTACAAAACGGGTGTGGATCCATATCTTCCCCCCGGTTCGAATCCAAGCTTGTCTCCTGCAGCGTCTCAACTTCTGGTCCAGTTTGAAAGACGCTGGTCACAACATCCGGGAACTGAAAGACACTGTTTAGAAACTCAGTGTTCTGCCTGTCAGGGTGGTTCTCTAGGAACTTCTCTTTAGACATCAACCTTAAAAAGTTGAGCTCATGATAATGATCTAGGATGACCAGGTTAAAGTTCATGTCCAGAACTTCCAATAAGAAACCGCGTACAGTCTTTGACATCATTATACCGAATTTATAAACCTCCCACAACGTGTTGTTGGTGAATAGTTGTAGATCCAGGCTCTTCTTGTTACACGAGCCCACGTTAAAGTCTAAACCTATCTCTCCGCTGCGGGCAAACTTGTCGTTTACTCTGCTAGACTTCAGGATTTGTTTTGAGCGAGGAGCCCTCCTCATCCACAGCTTTTGTTTGTGAGTTGTAACTTTCGTGTCCTCATTTTCTTCTTCAACATACAGATCTGAGACTGCTTTCAGAGTTGTGTGTTTTGGAAGAATCTTAGGCAAAACAGGGTTGAAGTTATAAGTCGGAAGCTTCACTTGAGAGACAAAAACTTCCTCTCCTTCCTGCTTTACATCCAGAGAAAAAATGGCTTCTGATGAACAACCATCAGACACCATTTGTTCCGATGCTGCCTCCGACTCCAACTGCATTTCCGTATCACAGTCAACCGGGCACCGGTGAGACAGGTCACTATCCGGACAAACATCAGCGTTAACATCGTCATGTCTCAGCGTTTCCCTTCGCTTAATTGCCACAAGCTCTTCCAAGTTATGGTAATCTGGGGATTTTCGCTTCCTTCGCTTCGGCTCCAATGTCTTGATTTCATAAGTCTGCTTTTGGAAAGCCTCGCTATCGTTGGTTCTGAACCAGGCGTTCTTCCTCCCCAACAGTTTGGGTAGTTGCAAACTGAAAAATGTGTTATCAAACTTTGTGCCGAAGTTTTGCTGAATCAAGTCGTGAACTATCCCGTTGTGCGTTCCGCAAAGAACTCGCGAAAAGTCGAGCAGTTCAAGCATCACACCGTTGGTTAGTGGATTTGGGTCGAGTTTGTCTTTGGGTGCGTCTTCTGGTCGTACAAACAGAGACACACCGAGGTCTTCACAGTATGGGTAAGATCTAGCCTTGACTCGTAGTCCTCCTGGTCTCTTCATCATTGACGTGACTTCACTGATCTTCGTCTTCTGAGATTCTGCTGACTTCCTGCTGCCATCAGTAAGTACCGAAGTATCAACCATTTTGTTTCTTTTAGGGTAGTAGCGTCCGGGCTGCTCATTTGCAGTGATCTTAACTAAAAAGCTTATGTCTGGTAGCGAGAATTTATCTTTTTTGTCTTTGATGAGTTTTCGTCATGATTCTATTCTTCACTACCGTTATTTTATTATGAGCACGCCTCGCGTACTCGTAGTACTGCTGATCATTGTCCAAGTCTACGCCGAGGTCAAAGTTGAAGTCCAGCATTTCCAATAAGAAATATATGTTGGACTGCGTCACAGTTCTTGCAAATACGCAAAGCTCCAGCATCACAGCGTTTGTGAGCAGCCTCGGATCCAACTTGTCCTTCCTTTCCAACGCTGCATTGAAGTCCAAACCATGCCTTCACTGATTCTGGGAATGGGACGGTGCGTTTCTGCAGCCGAACCCCGTGGTGGATGCGGCGCTGCCAGATGTATTCATCGATGTTCTCCATGCTGACATCAAAATCCAAAATGTAAATCCTCTTTTTGTTTCCTGAACAACATCCTGAGAACTTGGGTCTTTGCAGAGGAAAACAAGACACTTCTTTGGTGTTTTAGAGCATCGTCTGCTGCGCTCTTCAGTCTGTGGGACAGAAAACAGAGTTTGAGTTAGTTAACAGAGACTTTGAAAACATAAAACCTTTTACACCTAGATGTCACAACAGTTCCGTTTCTACCAAGATGTTTAAGAAAATGGTCCCACTGCAACAAAGCTATAAAATGCACTTTCATTGTAATCGTACTGCTATATGAACACAAGTGCAGTAACATTTGGTTTGCAAACACTTTAAACAATAAGGTGCTTTTTAATAGGAGTTTTCCCTTTGCACAGCAGCAGTTAAAATATGTATCGTAAATCTCAACTTCAACATTAATTAATGTAATCAAATCAAATATAAAACCAAAAGCTATGTGCCAGGGCATTAACGTATTGTGATGACGCCCATCCTGTGGTTTGTCTGTATGTGTATACGAACTTTCAATATAATAATATTAATAATTCAAACTTTTAAAGGTAGGGTAGGTCATTTTGGAGAAACCAGCTCGAGTGCGCTAGAATTTGAAAATACACAACTGGAAAAAATCTGCCACTTCCTTAAAGAGCCCCTCCTCCAACACGAACGCCAGTGTTTCCCCTAGGATGGAGTCATAGCAGCGGTGCTAAGGCACGTGGGCCCAGCATAATGTGAGCGCGGAGCGTGTGGAATTTTTTTAGTGCGTACGAAGTGCACCCTGCCAATTTGTTTCTATGTGTCTGCCAGCACAAGAAAGGCTCTTGAGGCCTAGTACCAGAGCCGGTTCCAGACAATTTGCTGCCCTAAGCGAGATTTTATATATAAAGAATAAATGAAAAATCTCTACAGAAAACAAATACACTACAAAAACAGAAACTTATTGACATAGGTCATATACGTCAAAATGGCTTCAAATTAGGGCTGGGCGATTTTTTCGGTTTTCACGATTAATTGCATTTTTACTTTCCTACGGTTTGTGAAATGGCTAAACCGAAAAACCGCGATTTTTTTTTTTTGGATCTGTAATCAAAAAGCTCCTCAAAAACACTATCGAAGCAGTTCCTGCCGTTGCTACGTTAGTTCAAACAGTAACAACGCACTATTTTTCTTAGCGGATGCATGTCAATTTAAATCAATACAAAACTATTTTTTAAATCAATAAAATCATTTTCTAAATCCATAAAAGCATTTCAATTAATATTGGGAGTCATGTCGTTACTTTGCTGAGAATTTGGCCATGTAATAAGCGGGATAATGTGCACATTGCACATTGCATAATGTGCCTTCATGCCGATCCCTCCGCAAAAAAAACGGCTCGTTCGCGGGCGAGAGCCGGCTCCCGTCATTCACTTAAATAGTTCGCGACCGACATCACTACGACAGACGTAGCATAAAAATGTCCACGAACACAGATGAAGAAGAACTCATTCCTAAAAAAGGTACCACTTCAGTAAGTTCAGTTGTATGGAAGTGGTTCGGGTACAAGCAGTCAGACATAGAACAAACAACTGTTCTGTGTAAGGTCTGTAGAAAGACGATCGCTGCAAAACATGGGAACACAACCAACTTATTCCAGCAACTGCGACAGAGACATGCAGTGGTGGAAGCTACATGAAGCTAACTTCCCAAGACTGAGTTATCTGGCCAAGAAATATCTCTCCATTCCTGCCACAAGTGCCCCTTCGGAGAGGGTTTTCAGTACGGGGGGTAATATTGTAACATGCCAAAGAGCATGCCTCAAGCCAGAGGCAGTAGACAGGCTTGTCTTCCTCGCGAAAAACCTGTAGAAAACTTCCTAGAAAGTTAAAGGGATGTTATTTTGTTTGAGGGTATTTTTTTTATTATTAATTTCATTATCATTATTTGTTGTATTTGTATCATTCAACATGATGATATTTTTAAATGATGAAACCAGTCTGAAGTGATTTTTTTTGTTTGATGCCAACAGCAAGACTAACCTGGAATTCATGCATTGCAATTATTCTAATGGTTAACTTCCTGCAAGCTATAACAAACCCCAATATTACCTTTCCTGAAATCAACATCCTGTAACCTGATTTATTTTGGACATGTTTTTCTATTTCACTATTATATTAAAAACATATAACAATATATATTTTATTTTTTAAAATGTTTAACTGATGACCTATAGCCTTTATATTTTGTATTGGAACATAACAAAAACATATTTCATAAAACAGTTTTACATTTTCAAAGATATATGAGGCTTTTCTTTTAATTTTCTTTGAGATATGATTTGTTGAAATGATTGACAAAAGTGTATAATGTATATTTTTCTCACATAACTAAATATGCAACCCAAATTATTCTGGACAGTGATATTTAATAGGTTTTCTTTCCATACAGGTGCATTTGGAAATAATAGAAATGTTGAAATTGAAATTAAACCAGATGCAGTCAACATTTCTAACATCAGATTCAGTATTGGCATTTTTTTCATCCGTGAACCTTTGTTGGAAATGTGGATGATCCCAAAATAAAATGTCAAGTCCTCGCATCTTCACTCCAACCATCTGTTTTCTTCTTCTTTTTACTCGCCATACTTAACTCACCACATCCAGGAGGATCCATATCATTTCAGAAAAAAATCGAGGTTTAAATAGAAAATCGTCCATTAGTTAGAAAAAATCGAGGTTTTATTTTTAGGCCAAATCGCCCAGCCCTACTTCAAATGTATTCAGTATTGTATGAACATGTTTTAATTGGGGGGTGGACGTCACATCCTCTAGGGGGTCCGGGGTATGCCCCCCCCGGGAAGATTTTTTTGAACATTTTAAAGTAAAATGCTTCAATCTGGTGCACTTTGAGCACACAATTACTAGAGACCTGATCTAGGTGGTACAACTCTAAAACACCCATATGAAAAAGATCGGTTTACATTTTATGTATGTATTTAAGTATGTGAACATAACCAATAACCTACCATAGCCAATAACAAATAAATGTAACTTATTTTATTTTTGTTGTTCATTCATATCTTATTTTACCTTAACATTTATTTATTTATGCATATTTTTGTATCTCTCCAACTGTAAACGATATTTTTGGTTTACTGTCCTATAGTACACATTGGAATAATTTCAAACCTGTTTTTATTTATCCTAATAATCATAAAGGAGTGCCTTGGAAATATGTGTAATTTGTAAACACATATTTGTTTGAGACCCACTGAGATAACTTAGACTAAAATTAACTATCTAAACCAGGGGTGGGGAACCTCCGGCCCCGGGCCGTATACGGCCCGCGAGACCATTTGGTACGGCCCTCGAGGTAATTTATAAACACACGCAAAAAAGAAAAAAATTAAGAAATCTAGACCGCAAAAAAATTAAACAAGCGAGTGCCTGTTTTTCCTGGCCAAGGTCAGGATCCTTGAACACAACACGAGCCTAACGTGTCATCACGTGGTATATGTCTCATCTAACAGGGCTACAGTTCTGACGGAGAGCACCAGAACGTTGCTCCGGCACTTCAGAAACTGCAGTACCCATAAGGAGCCACACATGCCGCAGTTTCTGCGTGTCTGTGTCTTTAGTTGAAAGCCCAGTGGCGATCTGCTCATCTGTCATACTGATCATACAGTCAATAACTTTGGTGTTATTAGCATCTGGTTAGCTAGCTATGCTAACGAATATAAGAAGCTTTTTCCACAACCAGTGAGGTAAAGGCACATCTTTATATGATCATTATGGTTATACAAAAATAAGAGAATAAAGTAAACAGGTATAAAATACTATATGACAGTAACAAAAAGTTGTTATTAATAAACAAGAATACAGTTTGAAAGGAGAGTGATTTGTAAAATATCCATAAAGAAAAATAAATCTGTTTCATCTGGTGTTGAGAGATGTATCCATCGATCTCCTCATGTTGCTCTCAAAGTGCACCAGATTGATGCTTTTAACTTCAATATTTAAAAAAAAATCTTCCCGGGGGAGCATGCCCCCCCGGACCCCCCTGGAGGGGGTTAGGTCCCCCCCCCCACTTTAAATCATGTTCACATGGATAGGAAACTAAATACATTTGCACACATCTTGTGTCCATATCTTTCGGTTTTGGTGGTCATGCTACAACCGTGCACGTGCATGCATGCGCAAGTCATGGTGGGATATCTGGATTAAGAGGTTGCTTTTTCTTTGCACAGCATGAAATAAATGTCAAATGAATGGGCTGTGATTTTTGTATTTTTAAGCAGAGGTCAATAATTTGTACGGCCCTCGGAGGATGTTGAAAAAATGAAATGAAATGGCCCTTGAGAGGAAAAAGGTTCCCCACCCCTGATCTAAACACTCAGAGAGTCCCTAACCTCACCTGAGCTGTTTATCTCTCTCAGTCTGACAGCAGAGGACTCTCCTCCACCTTGTTGTTGAAACAGCTCCTTATGTCTTTTAGAGCAGCTAGCTAACCAGATGCTAACAACAAAAATACAAGTAACCGGTGTGCAGTTTTCTCTCTCTCTTTCTCTCTTTCTCTCTCTCACTCGTGCCATACATACACACACCCTCCCGAGCTTGAATGACACACAGAGACCAATTGAGGGCTTTGATTTATGATCGGTATGGAAGTGGCCAGGTCGGCAGGCCACATCATATAGACAGACAGTCACCCTGTATGAGGCAAACCCACATTTGCGCAGCGTTGCGTTCACAATACATAACTTTTAAAAAATCGCCAGACCAGCAGGCCACTTAACAGGCAAGGCCATCGGGAAACCTCCCGGTCCTCCCGATGGCCAGTCCGGGCCTGCCTATTACATACAGTGGCAATGTCTCAAGATTTAGCAAAATACACCTTTTTGAACATACAGTAACACAAATACTACAAATCCACATAACAAACAATCAACAATCAAAAAGGGTCGGCACTTATTATCATTTATAAAAATTTTAAAAAACGAATTATTATTTATAAAAATTAAAAAAACCTGGTACCTGGCTGGCGCCCCCTAGCAGCGGCGCGCATATTTCAGCAGCGCCGGCGCTATTTGTATATAGGGGAAACACAGAACGCGCACATGACCAATGAGGGCACGAGATAAGTTTGTGCACAGATGAGGCGCTTTCACACCGCAGTACTTTTCCCACAAAGGTTAATCAGAACTTAGTTCCTGAGAACTCTTTAGTTCTGATGAACTTAGTACAGATCGCGTTCACACCGGAATAAGTTCCTGGGGGAGGATTAGGCAAATGAAGCCGCTGACGTCACTTCTTCTTCTTCTGCTTTGGGTTTACTGGTAGGCCGCAAACCACTTCACAGCGTATACTGCCACCCGAAGTCCCCGGAGTTGGGGTCCCAGCAGCTTCTACTGAAGCCTCCCGAGTAAATCGCCAGAACGCCGACACCTCCTCATACCTCCACCGCTCCCATGTTTTATTTTGTGTTGCCATAAAAGGTTCTAATGAACTCATCTAGTTCCGGCTCTTTTTGGTGTGAACGCGACATTTCGGAACTATATCAGAACTAAAGTGGGAAAAGTACTGCGGTGTGAACGCGCCTATGGAAGGCTGACAGGCAGGTAGGCCATCCAGTTTTTACAGTACTTCAACAGATGACATTTTTCTATGGATTTTTTGTCAAAGCACTTCAGATATTCATTGCTATCGGGATGTTAAGAGCATTCCATGGAATATAACAAAAAGTGTATCTCGAGCCGGTTTCTCAAACGTACCTACCCCACCTTTAATGCGCCATAAAATAAATGTCAGCGTTAATTAATTAATGCTTTAATTAAGTGAGTACTTCTACTTTTACTCAAGTACAAGATCTGAGTACTTCTTCCACCTCTGCTACTAGGCCATTTCTGATTATCATTTGACGGTTTCACCCGATGTAACTTGAACGCACCAAAATGGCTGATCGGTGCAAACCATGGATGTATAATAAGAACGCTGCAAACACAACTTCTTCTCCAATAAAGGCTCAAATCCACAAAGTTAAAATCATATACCCGGCGGGCTGTGCGTGAAAAACATGATAGATAGTTAGACATCGTGTCTTAATTTGAAAAGCGTGCATCATAATGTAAGCATCCTTTTAAAGCACAGATAAGATTAAAACAGCAGCATTTACAAACTGAGGCTGAACACGAGGACTTACCGAACAGCGGAGCACCAGCCGGATCACCGGGGGGTCACCGGGGGATTACCGGGGGATCAATGGGGTCAGAAAGTCTCCGGTTGTTCAGTTTTTTTGGCCTGAAATTCCGACGAGCCGCTGCAGCACCGTGAAACTCCAACTTAAATGGCCGCCTTCAGGGACGCGTCGGAAATGTCGCTTTTACAGTCATTTAATTGAAACTGAGTTGGTAGAAGTACTCAGATCTGCTTCTAAAGTAAAAGTAGAAGTACTCAGATCTGCTTCTAAGGTAAAAGTAGAAGTACTCAGATCTGCTTGTACTTGAGTAAAAGTAGAAGTAGGCCCTACTCAGATCTTGTACTTGAGTAAAAGTAGAAGTACTCAGATATTGTACTTGAGTAAAAGTAGAAGTACTCAGATCTTGTACTTGAGTAAAAGTAGAAGTACTCAGATATTGTACTTGAGTAAAAGTAGAAGTACTCAGATCTTGTTCTTGAGTAAAAGTAGAAGTACTCAGATCTTGTACTTGAGTAAAAGTAGAAGTACTCAGATCTTGTGCTTGAGTAAAAGTAGAAGTACTCAGATCTTGTACTTGAGTAAAAGTAGAAGTACTCAGATCTTGTTATTGAGTAAAAGTAGAAGTACTCAGATCTTGTACTTGAGTAAAAGTAGAAGTATCAGAGTGTAGGAATACTCTGTCACAGTAAAAGTCCTGCATTCAAAATGTTCCTCAAGTGAAAGTAGAAAAGTATTCTCATCAAAATATAGTGAAAGTAGCGACAGTAAAAGTAGTCGTTGTGCAGATTGGTCCATTTCAGAATATTATATATGATATGTTTTATAATGATTGATCATGAAAGTGTTCTCAAAGCTGGTAAAGGTGCAGCTAGTTTGAAGTACTTTGTATACTGCAGGGTAGCTGGTGGATTTACTCCAGGTGGAACTAAAGTCTGATTCAACACTTGATTAGATTTCACATCATTCATCCACATCTGTGAAGTAACTAAAGGGATTAAATACATGTAGTGGAGGAAAAGTGGCTACGCTTTAAACTCTAAAATATAGTTACAGAAAGACAGACATCGAGATAGAAAGACATCGAGACAGACATCGAGACAGACAGACAGACAGACAAAGACAGACAGACAGACAGACAGACAGACAGACAGACAGACAGACAGACAGACAGACAGACAGACAGACAGACTGTCTTCTGAACATAATAATATACGTATATTTGTAACGCAGTCTAAAGGCAAAGACGTAGAACCATTATTTTGAAGAGAACAGCGCAAGCATAGGGCACACTAGCCAATCAGAAGCAAGGAGGCGCTGGAGACACACCCACTTATGGAAACGAAACATTGAGTGGTATACTTGTTTTCCGGCGCAAACTGAAAACTCATCTCTTTCGACTCCACTTCGAGCGTTAGAACGATTAACGAAGCACTTTTATACTAATAAAGGACTGGATTACCTAAAGCCAGTTGAGTAGCACTTGAAATGTTTAGCTCTATGAAACCTGATGTACTTATATGATTCTGTTTTCTTCAAGGTTGTGTCTTCCTGGTCGAATGTACTTATTGTAAGTCGCTTTGGACAAAAGCGTCAGCTAAATGCAATGTAATGTAATGTAATGTTAACAGTAAGAACAGAAAAACGAAAAAACGAGATGAATTTCCGTTTTTTCGTTTTGGGGCAAAATTGAAAATAAAAAAAACGACCCGTTTCTGCTTTTTTTTAAGTTTCTATTAGAATTAAAAAAACAAACGGTTAAAACGTACCTTCGTCAGAACAGAATTGTCCCCATTTTGTCTTTAATAGTTACTAACATTAGATATTGCAATGAGATATGGACCGCAAAACAAAAAATGTCCCTGGTTTTTCGTTTTTTAAAATCAAGTTATCAAATGCAAGTATAGTCGCCTTAGCTTATTTTGTTATGAGATGTGAATCACTGTTCAATTTAGTTGATGTAATAATCGTTTGGTTTCTTTTACATTAAAAACAAGTTACAATTTTCTAAAGGTCTTGTGTTTTTTATCGGGGGGGAGGCCCTTTTTCCAGTTTAGAGCAATAGCCCCTCCAAATGTCTGTGCACGTCCCTGCTCCTTACTACCATCTTTTGTTTTCTTAGTTATGTTCTCTGTATTGTATATGTCCGTGTTTTGTGTTTTGTGTTATGTGTTATGTGTTATGTGTTATGTGTTATGTGTTATGTGTAACGTTGCTGCCTTCTTGGCCAGGTCAGCATTGAAAATGAGATTTTATCTCAATGCTTTTTATCTGGTTAAATAAAGGTTAAATAAAAAGAACCTGTGCTGGACTATGGTGATCTGATGTATATGAATGCACCTGCCTATTACCTGAACAAGTTAGATGCCGCCTATCACAGTGCGCTGAGATGTGTTACTAACTGTAAAGCACTGACTCATCACTGTACCCTGTATAACAGGGCAGGTCTGCCTTCACTAACTGTACGGAGGCTCAGTCATTGGTACACGTTCATTTATAAAGCCATGTTGGGTAAACTCCCATCTTATATCTGCTCTCTGATCTCACAGAGAGTTGCAAGTAGCTATTGCCTGAGATCCCAGGATGTGTTTTTATTTCATGTTTTCGTGCAAGGACTGTTTTAGGCACTAAAGCTTTTATGTGCGCTGCTCCTCTTGGAACAGTCTGCAAAACAAATTGAAACTGAGCATTTTGGTTCTCCTGCATCATTTTAAAGCTCGGCTGAATTAAATGCTGTCATTGTGAATAGGTTTGTAAATTGTACCCCTGTAATTATGTTGTATGACGTCCTTTTTGTTTTCTGTTGTTTTTCTGTTTACATGTGTGACCAGAGGCCTGTTCTACGAAGCCGGTTCAACCTAACCTGGATATGTTTGAGTTAGCCGGTTGGCCTAATCCAAAACATACGCGCTCTCGCTAAACGGTACTACGACGCGGGTTATCAAGTGGATCGCTCAAGCCAGCCGTGTCCTTTCTAGTTAGGTGAACACTTGTTCTGTTCCCAGCTGTATTCACCTTGCAGGTGCAGCTCTGTGGCTTTGATCCTGGATCAAGTGTTTGAGTCATGGATGTTTAAAGTTTAACTTCTTCATATGTCTAATATTATAGTTGACTTTTCATTCAGGAAGTATGACGCTGCGCTGTCAGTACGCTTCTCCATGTTTGTGATTGGTCGAATGCTCCAGATACCACCCCTCTCATGTGAACGCGCACCTAACTAGATAGGACACGGCTGGCTTGAGCGAACGAGTTGATAGCCAGCGTTGTAGGACAGTTTAGCGAGAGCGTGTATGTTTTGGATTAGGCCAACCGGATAACTCAAAACATATCTAGGATAGGTTGAACTAGATTCGTAGTATACCCCCCTGGTTAGCCGCACAGCATAAGTTACCATGGAGATCTAGCCTGCAGAGAACCAGCTTCCTAGGACCGGAAACCCAGAGTTACCCTTGAAGTTAGCCGGCTAAGCGAAAATCCTGCTTCGTAGTACAGGCCTCAGGTCTCCCTTGAAAAAGAGATCGTTGATCTCAATGGGATTTCACTTCGATAAATAAAGGCTACAAACAAACAAACACACACACACACACACACACACACACACACACACACACACACACACTCACACACACACACACACACACACACCCATATACGTATAAAATAACGTATTAAGCAGAAAGTTTAGTATAGCATATTTCTGGTATATTCATTTTATTGTCATCTAATATATGTGTGTTTTTATATATATTCATGTGTGTTAAAACTTGGATGGACAAGGACATTTTTTCCTCTTAAATATAGAGGTTTTTTATATTGATGTTCCGATAACAATGTCCCCTTTTTAGTAAAAGTAGATTTAGCGCAATAGTCTTTTTCTTCCACTTTTATGTATAATCAAAAGGGTGGTTTTTTGGCTATTTGTGAGTAGGTGAGGTGCAGTATAACCTGGGATTTCTGCCTTGAGTAAAAAGATTACCCGTGGATGAGTATTTTTCAGAAAGTCAGTAGAAGAGTCTCTTTGCTAATTATCAATGGTCTTTGCAAATTAACAGCAGATGTACCAATGTTAATTGAATTGGTGAGAGGTCAGAGGAACTCCAAGAGAGGGGCTTCCTCAGACCTAATACAATTAAAGTCTTGTTAGTTAGTGCTTCATATCCAGCATGCATTAGCTAAGAAACGATAACAATGTTGGTGCGTAGCTGCATAGGGGAAAATGTATGTGCGCTTGTGTGCAGATGTTAGTTCATTGGATAATTCATATCCTGCAAGACTCCTAGAGAGGCCATGGGATAATGGTCGTTCTGAATTTATCAATACATGTATTCCTGTTAAGTGAGCTGACTTCGAGGTTAGAGGAAGTTCAGAGGATGTCGTGCGTGCTAAATTCCCACAACATGCTGGAGTAATTGACTTAAATATATGGCCCTTTCTCATTTCTCTAACTCCCCTCCTCGACTCCCCTCCTCGACTCCCCTCCTCGACTCCTATCCTCGACTCCTATCCTTGAGACCTGGTGCCGCCCACAGGAGATGCGAGCGGAGGACTGAGGAGGGGAACCGAGGAGAGAGGAGGGGAAGCAGCAGGCGGTTAGTGAAATGAGAACTCCTCTCCTCTGAGCGGTCATTTTAAAGAGACGTCCATTAATGATGACAGGAGGCACAGCAGCCCTCTGTCTGATGGACAGATGTGTTCAGGACCACTTCTATATTTACTTTGAATTCATTCACAGTGCGGTATAATGAGACAATAACAGGCTACAGATGCGGACACACACACACACGTATATTTATATAAATAAATACCATTTCAGAATCAAACAGAGCACTCTCATAATAACGTAACACTATCAGAGACTGGATATATCCCCCCCCCCCCTCTCTGGTCGCTACAATGAGGGAAATCAATTACGGGCCAAAAGTTTTATTTACAAGTATTACAAGTAAGCAGAGGACACCAAACCAACTGAGACCTGTCTGTCCGCTGCATCTACGCACTGTACAACACACACACCTACACACTGTACCACACACATACACACTGTACCACACGCACCTACAGCTCCTAATCAGGCTACAGCCGTTGTGTATTTTATTATGTGAAGCACTAAATGGTCTTAGAAACATCTGGACTCTTTGTT